AGGTTACACAGTTTAATTATATAAGTATGTATAGCGGCAAGTAAAGGGTTAAATTGCTCTATTTAATCACCTATAATGTGTCGTGAGGCAAGATATTAACCCTGAGCCTACAGCTATCGTTGCTAAGCAACTGCATACAATTTCATGAGGCTTGACTTAGGGGTCCGTGTGGATTTCCTCTTCGTGCACGTTCGCTTTTATTTTGCGTGAATCAATTAATTCGTTCCGAGATATTTATGTGCAAATAGTATCAGCGTGTCTCTTTCGACTGTTGTGAGAGATCGTCTTACTGATGGTCGAAAAACTTGAGATATTCACAATTCTCAATTTGTATAATACTCTTTTCATGATTGTTATTGAATGGAAATTAATACACGGTGATTTGTATGCTGATATTACAAAACAAGCCGAACAATGCATCTAATAAAGAAAGAAGTTTTAACGATCTATATTTTGTTAGGACAGAAATGATATCTATTCCGAGTCATTTTCAATTTCCTTGTTGAAAAAAGGAATTTTGATGGTGAAGACTTAAAAATCATTGATTTATTTTCAAACGGTAGACGTCCAGAGTAAACTTCCTTCAGAGTAACTCCAAAGTCGAATATTGGACACCTTAATTAATTAATTATGATTTATTCGTACACAAAAATAGTACATTACAATAAAATACAAATATACAATTATTTTTAGATTTTAGATAAAAGATCCTTTAGTACAAGCACTTCGTTCAAGTCTTTTGTCGCTCAGTCAACGCCGTAACCGATTTTATTGGACATAACGACAATAGATTTACCAATCAGTATTGATGTCACGAATTATTCATGTAAATTTTTATAAGATATTCGTAAAAGAATATAATAAAAGAGTGTACGATTACATGTAATAACATGCTGCATCGTTTACTTCGTACTATAATACGTGCAAAACGTTGCATAGGAATAGGCTTGCTTCGTGCTCTGCGTGTGGAATTTTTTTTAAATAATTGTTACTGCGACACTTATCTGTAAACAGAAAGAAAATGAAAAAAGACAAAATTCATACAACGGTTACCAAGTCATATATCCTATTGACTGCTTTGGACTGAAATGGAACCACCATCTCTTTATTAAGAGACTTTAGGGTATGACCATAGTGACAAACTGATCTATGTAACTTGAACGGCAATATTAACGTGGAATATCAGTTTTGCCTAAACATGTTGGTAGCCTACGTGATCCAAATGGTGCTGTAGCACTTCAGTTATCATCTGATTTTAATTGACCTTATTGATTAGGTTTAATACGGTATCGCATTTGACGATAATAACCTGCAATTTAGGGATGTAATTTTCTTATAATCTGAAAGCCATTATGTATTAGTCAATTTATACACAATTTACATTTTAGCAAAGGTGATATTTTCTAACCCTCGGAAGATACACATTGTAGACTTATTCGTAATATTTGGAGTAAGTTGCTTTCAGGTTTGATGGGGTTTTCCGCATCTTGTGTCGCTATTTCAAACCATCCAAGTGCAAAAATCGACCAACGCTTCCTATAGGTTTATTTTCCGTAATTAATTTAATATAAAGTATGGCTTGGGAATTCTATATTAGCCGATTTCATTTCCCCATTTTCATATGACACTTAATACTTTCTCTTCCGGTAGTGAATACTTCATGAAATTTGTTAATTGAATAACTCATTCCAATTCCTCTTTGGTAGAGATGCAATGATTAAAACGTATTATATCAAACCGTTAAAACCAATGATATGAATATAACCAATATCGTATTTGTTAACTGCCAAAAGCGTATCTGGGTTAAAACGCCCTGTCTATTGTGCAGAGCTAGTCGAAATTTTCAATCGACTGACTATAAAATATTGAAATGAATAATATGGGTTTTGTCAAATAAAACGTATTTAATTACAATTTGAAAATTGTCGTTATTATGGCCCGATATCGATTGCATTGTGTATGCAATAAAGCTGACACAAGGCTAGCCTGTTGAAACACGTGAACCAATATTGGGTGTGTTCAATACAAGCTAATATCTTAGTTCGTTGATTGTCTTTAGACTGAAATTTATTCTACGATTCTCACTATGACAGACATCTCGAATAATTAAAATGACATAAAAAAAATTGGTGGTTATTGTAGATTTTGGCAGCTGTGTAGATAATATGAATAGAGGCCATATTGACGTCTCGGCGTCGTAACTGTTCGATTTTCACGACAAAGAGTTCAATTTAAAATGGCGTTTGTTAATCTAGTTCATCTGATCATGATAAGTGGAGGAAACAAAGGTTATTTATATGCTGTATATCCGTGTAATTAATATGTTTAAAGTTGAACAACACACATATAATTTCAGTAATATTGTATGTACACCGATCTTTGAAAACTAATGCGAAGTTTGCAAACTTCCGGTCTGCTAAAAATAGTATTACGAAACGGAAATATAGAAATTTACTCGTCCGTTTGGCTTAAAGGGTTTATTCAATCCAATTTCACGAAGTTTTAACGAGAAATAAAGCGAATTTATATGGAGATTTAAAGAGCATGACTAATTCTCCAGTCTTGGTTTCAGAATATTAATATTTCCTCAACTTGTCCTTGTATATGTTTCCGAGTGCTTTCGAAATACATTTATCGAAACGGGCATGTGATAACACGGATATCATTGAAAATGTTGCCTTTCGCTTCCGTTGTATTTTTGGTTAAAAGACGAAATTAACCTACAGATTTTTGGTTTCACACAGAAATTGATACAATAATGCAACCATCCACTGAAAAGTGTGATCAGCAAACTCAGTTAAAAAAAAGTTATTAATGAGTCGTGGACAATCCTACTTTAAAATATTATTTGTACATTAATGACCTTATTGAGTGTAATAACGCAATAAGATAACATTGTTTGTGGTATGTCTGAAAGCATTTCAAGTCGTGATCGGCTGATCGCCTTCCTACAGATGTCATCGAACCAGACGACAACCACCTATTTATTGTGTGCCTTTCAGTTTAAAGATGGTTGTTCTAAATAACAAAATATATATCAGATAATTAGACTACGGGATTTATTTACGAATTCATCTTTGTGTCACGCAAATGCTTCCTCGGCATCTGCGTCATTATAAATAAAATACTGTCATGTCGCCATTACTTATATCGAATATTTCAGTTGGAAAAGCAATATTCCTCTTGCCTTTTCAAAGATTTCTCACAATCGATGAGAAATGCTTATAAAAATCCGTCCAAAGCATGACAAAATCGAGAGTAACAATTGTATAGTAGTGATCACCTTAAAGAGGTGTTTTGAAAAGAGTATATTTCAGGATATCTTCTCAGGTTGCTGTTTATCTATCAACCTTAACAGATAAATGAAGGTAATATCCTCATTTCTTGAATACCTTTTGACCTTGTGACAACCATGTAGCAAAGTTTTAGTATTCCATTGGCATTGTTTAAGTTGATGCATCAATTTAATTCTGAAGCACATTATTAGACACCAAATTCTTATTAGTCTCTAATTGACATTGCAAGCACTCTCATGCAACTGTCAATTATTTAGGATAAATGGGGGAAATAATGCGTCAGACAAAACCTCCAAAATAACCTCAATTTCCCTCAGACAACTGATGTCCATGATAGTACATTAGGACATGATGAATATAATCTATGAAGGAACATTGACGATTAATGAACACCTCGTCTGCTACGGTTTCACTTTTCAATCGAGCTCTTTTCACTCTTTTTTCAAATCTACTCTTAATCACATAAATATCAATCATGACGGTTTCGTGTATCTTTTGCCTGGTTTCTCCACTCATTTCGTTCGTTAATCAATGGTACGTGTCTGTTTTATTTATAAACTATCGATATTATCAACAAGCCTAGAGCAACTTAGAACTATATACATAATTTTACTCTTATTTTCTATCTTCTATTGCATCCTCCTCTTTATACTATAATAGCCGTCTGGTTGCCATATATAAAGCGTATTAAATGATAATCATTAGAATTTCACGTCACGTATTTGCCTGATATATCAATTCTCCGTCTATTTTAAATCGTTATAAATGTTTTAGAAAATTTATTTATGTTGATTCATATTTAATATCATTTCCGTTTAGAACGTTCGACCATTTGATGTCACGCTTTGTGAATAGGAAGAGAAGAAATTAGTTTTTTTCATCGAAACGCTTGGGTAAAACGTATAAAGTTTCTTTTAAGTCGCAGTGTTACGGCTCCGTGGATTAACTAATGTGAAGTATATAATAAGAAGACATATTTAGGCGACCGTTTTTCAATTCGGTTTTCTTTGTGCTGATCTAGAGGAAAGGCACGTGAATAAGTAAACAAAGAGTCGTTATATAGATACGACGTTCGTGGTATATCACACGAAACCTTTTTCCATACATGTTTTATTGTCTTTGTCTAACTATTATATGATTTAACAACAAGCTGTGTTTAGATTCAAATATATATACTAACAACAACATATGGATAAGTTTTCATTTTCTAATGGCAGGTCTAATGAGGGTAGGCTATTTATTACTTAATAACTAAATTAAAATCCGGCTTTATCGAGGAGATAAGAGACAGAAAGCAGGACGCACGTGAGCAGCAAGGCGTAACGAAACTAAAGTGTTAATTATTGATCAAGTACAGAGTGTGACGTTATTGGGGTTCTAATCGTCGACGAAAAGCGAGGATGGTATTCTAGAGTTTTGTCATTTTATCGGCCCAACTCTTATATTTCACAATCAATAGCTGATAACTTGCGTGGCTTTGACTCGTGCAATTCAGGACCAGAGTGGAGTCGGCGCCGTAAATAAAACACGATTAAAGGAAGTGAAGAGAGACTCGGTCGGATAGTTTGAGAATCTTGTATTACTAGTCATTACAGTTTTATCACTTGACTGGGGACGATCTTTGTCGTAAATACTAGAGGTCATCGGTTAGTGTAACATTATAATCCTTGCTATACATATGGTCGTTTAATCTATAGCAGAAAAATGAGAAGAAAGAAAGGAGGACGAGGACGGCCAAAAAGTGGGACAACCATTTCCAAAGCATGTGCAAAGAAAGACGCGGAACTTTCCACAAAGTTGATTGACAGTGCATCTCCGGAGCCTGATATTAGTGTACTAGGATATACCCAAACTGGACCATCATCCTACAGAGTTGGCAGTACTCATGTTCTACTGGGCGGGTCTGAAGATGACATTCAGCCAATATTTAGAGATTGTGAGATAATTCTGGAAGTGGAATGTGGTTCTAACAGTGCTCTCATGTATTTATCACGGTTGTGTCAGGGCAGTAAAGGACAATGTATAGAATTTGAAGGTGCCTGGATTTCTCCTAATGATTTTCAGATGTTAAGTGGGCGAGAAACAGCCAAGGATTGGAAACGTTCTATCAGACATTATGGACGAAGTTTAAAACTTCTGATCAACAAGGGAATACTGACAATTCATCCCACTGCTTGCCGATGTGACAGCTGTCGTCTGTTGACTCAAACGGTACGTCTGCTTTTTTCCACGAGATTTTATTCTACCTTCACTAACAAAAAGCCTATTTGAATTGACACTATTTAAATCTCCTTTATATAAATGACGTGAATGTTGAACTGTCCTCAAACCTATTGATATTTATCGATTTCATCTTAACTCGCTTTTTATCTTATTTGTGATATGAACTTCTACTAAATCACTAGTCATCAAGCTGTTTCCTTCGATTTTTCTCTTTAACTCGTAATCTAGTCGTTTACGTGGCAATCTAATTGCATGACGTACATTGGGCGCTACTATAAAATCGTTGAATTCATGAATATTCATTAGGGATTGTCATTAATGTAGTTACGGCACCGTAACTGTCTACTGGCGTCAGGTTTCCACGATTCCAAGATGCAACCTCGCATGAAACTTAATTATCAAATTATATACGCTAGATTGTTTCTACTTAATCAGTTTTTCTAATCCGTTTTTGAATATCAAGACAGTCAGAAATATTTATGAAATTTTCCTTTATTTTGCACCGAACACGTAAATGAATTGTTTGTTAGTAGAACATTACGAAGTTTGTTTACGTAGTTTGTTACACTATAGGTTATCTACCGTAATCTTTCTGCATTGTACGCCTATCTATTTCGGATATGAGTTCTAGTTCAGTAATTGGTCGAAAATTCTAAACTGGTATCGCTAGCTTTATTATGCATTGATAGCCTAGGGTTATTTCGCTCACTAACTTATGTTTAATAGTCGTATGCCCCAATAATTCGATGCTAGAGGTTATTTTTAACGCAGTCTATCGATTCTGGCGGTATTCATGCCAGTCGATTCAGCTGTAGATAAGAGATCAACTTCAGTCGATTTCTTTGTGTCGTGTGCTGGGCGTTTCATCACATATAATGTCAATTATTTTGCAAAGTATGCTTCAAAATGTCCATTACGCATTTGATCTACGGCTTAAAATCTACTGTAAATTGTTTGAAGCTTGACGGTGCATACCAGGCATTTGACCTATCCTATCATGTGCAGATCAAAACAACTATGTAATTGTTATACACATCCGTATCTTTTAAACAAACCGGAAGTAGAGTGGTATGGCAATTTACAATGCGAATATGTTCCGGCTTGGCTCAATTTATATGACATTAAAATACGTATTTTGTAAAGCATTATTGAAATCTATTGAGACATTAATACATGAACCTTAACATGACTGAAATCTATTCAGACATTAATACATGAACTTAACATTATTGAAATCTATTCAGACATTAATACATGAATTTAAACATGATTGACTTATATTCAGACATTAATTCGTGAACTATAACATGATTGAATTCTATTCAGACATTAATACATGAACTATAACATGATTGAATTATATTCAGACAGTAATACGTGAACTATAACATGATTGAAATATATTCAGACATTAATACATGAACTTCAACATGATTGAAATCTATTCAGACATTAATACATAAACTATAACATGATTGAATTCTATTCAGACATTAATACATGAACTATAACATGATTGAATTCTATTCAGACTTGAACTTAAACATGATTGAAATCTATTCAGACATTAATACTTGAACTTAAACATGATTGAAATCTATTCAGACATTAATACACGAACTTAAACATGATTGGATTCTATTCAGACATTAATACACGAACTTAAACATGATTGCAAAACATCTAATAGCCAATGATCAACTAACATTTTTTTACTTTTGTTTGACACTTATAGCTTTAGGAGATCACAAAACGTAGTACTATTTGTAGGGATGAAATGAGAGTAGACCGCTAACAGTGTTCGACTCTGACTGTGTCATCTGATGCTGATGTTGTCTTTAGAGTTTTAAACTCATGGCAGCTTTTGTCTTCCTAATGGAACTTAGTACTGTCCACTATCCAATATAGCCTCTCGCATTAGACCACTCTTTATCCGGCTGATGTTCGTTAATTCCAATATAACGATCATTGAAATCATTATCTAGGACATCCCGTGTCATAAATTTAGCCGGTTTCACAGATGGTCGTGAAGTTATTTTCTCATCAACATTGAAATCGGCGAGTTTATCTGGGTAGATACGTGGACTCATCAATAAGACGTGTGTAATAGAAGTTATATTTAGTTTAGGTATTCAGATAGTACGGCTACCAGTTTATTTACCTTCTTTAAAGTTGGTATATCGCATTTTGTGGAAATATTTGGGAAATTTGCAGCTCGTTTATTACGCTTTATTTAATGTCAAGTGCAGTTTTAGATCACTGTTTGAGATGTCGTGTATTGGTTTGTAACATCAGAATGAGTTGCGATCACTGGCTGATATCAATCAGTCAGTCATCGCTCAACCCAAATAGATAGCATTGTTGTATCACATTTTAAATGTTTTCAGTAAATTTCTAGCGTGCTAATCAAAGTTTACTGTGTATGCAGCCTAAGAACAGAGCGTGTCTTTCCCTTATCATCACTATCATCTTATTCCATTCAGGAACTTGAAACAATTATTATTCTAGTCGTTGTTTAATTTTGGACAGTTTGTTTATATATATATATATATAAAATAGGGGAAAATGGGGAAATATCTATTATGCTTACTACGGGGGTTGTAATGTTCAAGGTCTAATTACTAGAAACGTCTTGACTCGATTGCAGAAGTTTCTTTCCAATAATGTTGGTATAACTTTAACCTTCAGATTTAGATGGTTTGGGGAACATTGTGTTAGGATACTTAAACGTTCCATGCAAATTATTCTTAACTTATTGGTTATTTTCCTATAGATCGATTAGCTTGTTTGTTAATGTCTTTTGAATGCAATGTCTTGAAATATATCGATTTTGTACATTTCTAAGTGTTTGTCGAGATGTTCATACCTATTGTTCATATAATTGTTGGTTGGTTTTCAAATGGAAATCTCGTCGATATGAAAAATGCATAGGGTCAACCTAATGCATTAGCTGACGTCATTGTGTAGGTATTAAAACGTGTTCAAGACAAAAGACAAGCGGAAGAATACATGTCAGTATATATTTAAATTAACCACATATTACGATAACAAGTCGAGCGCATGTGTTTTTAGTTTTATGTATTTGGCAGATTAAAGGGACGTGTCTTTTTGTATTGTCCCTGTAAAAAATGTGAAAAAGAAGTTTTTCAAAGTCATCACTACCGCAGAAGAAGACTTTTTAATAAGACTAACCCGATTTCATATTTTCATTTTGCCGAATTCTACTTGTAAATAAATGGGTTCCGTGAGTTGTTCAAGTGAATAATTAGAGAGAAGTAAAGTTTTAATGTGCCTCTAAGTAGAACCTGTAGTATCTTCAATTGTGTAACCATAGCCCAAAGCATACAGTATGTAATATATTCTAAACAGACTAAACTGTGAATGGATGTGTGTTGAATTTATTAGAAACTGCACTAGAGACACACCTCACGTGACAAGTTTCTCCCTAGCGCATTTCTTTTCACCATAATGTCATCTTACGTTAATCAAAAGCAGGTTTAAATTTTAATGTGGAAATCGCATACAGATCCACTGGTCTTTTAAAACGTGGAATATAAATAGGTTGTATGTGGGTAACGGCTGGTTCTATCTGCATATGGCGATGATTGTGGCGGGCGTTGTCAAGATTAGCTCTCACACGACTAGCAGACGATAGTTCGCCTCTTTGTTTCATCTAGTCTAAACGATACCAGCCGTTATGGCTTTTAGGACATTTTCTACATTTTAGCTGAAAACAATAAAATTTGACTTTGTTATTATTAGGACGGTCATTGTTGTAAGGTTTGTATGAAGATAGGTGTCGTGTACCGAGTAGATGACACATTAGACTAAAAACAGCCTATCACAAAATAATAGTCGGTTCTCAACACTTCAATAGACATTGCAAGATACTTGTCTTTGGAAAGTGGTCGTAGCACCGTCAACGTATAGTTGACGTTATAGAGGTACTGATCGAGGACGTTTTTAGGATGCTATCTCGTAGACCATTGCAAAGAACGAGAATATCGAATTTAACCGTAAGTGAGCTTATCTGTCTTCAACCTATAATCAATATAGCACGATATTATAACCTTACATTTACTCCTAAAACATCACAGAGTTTGCCCTAAGCAACCTCTTGTTGGACACATTTCCAATTATTTTATGTACATAACACTTTCTTGATTTGACCGATGTAATACTGACTGCGCTTGTCAATTAATAGCATGTCAACACAGTAGATTGATTCATTCTTGTCGTTTTTTATTTCACCCTGCTTTTCATACGATTATACATACATCAGAGACATGTCGTGAAAAATTACTAAATATTCCAAGAAATTTAGTCGTAATTTCAGAAAATCAATCAGTCTTGTAGCGCAATCAGATCAAGAACAGTATGGCGTAAAACTTCAATTATTTATTAGTCACGCAAAAGAATAGTAACTTGTAAAAACTCTTTAATATTAAAAATGCTTTAACGGAACTCCAGAACTTTCCAACGTTTATAATAATAAAAAAAAACAGATTGGTTTTCCTTGGAAGGTAAAGGTGGCGACGTTTGAATTTTGAATTTGCCTTTCCGTTTGTGAATTGATCGGGTGTACTTCCAAAGATTAAACCGAAAACTATATTTTGGAAAGGGTTATGCTCCAAATAATTCAGCTGTATTCCTAATAAGCATATTACTTGATCCTTTAAATGATACTCTGCCAAAGCGATTTAAATAGTGATAACCATATTGATAGGGGTTTATTGATAATCATACTTTAGTTTAATCTTCAGAGAGCCCGGGTTTATCAACATGGACACCATTTCACGTTCACTTAGCTTCCAGGCTTTTATCTTATATTATTTCATTACTTTATAATCACCGTATTTCAACCAGACCGTGTGATATTTTATCTTAACCGATGTCTTCCTTGTACCGAAACGAAATCAATCCTACGTGACGGGAGGTCTTTTCTGTTCTAAATAAATTCAACTATAAGTAAATGTTTAGACGACATT